AGCCACAAAACTATAATCATATCTATGCAAGTTTTACATTTATATATTATGAATATACAATATTATTGTTAAATACTTTACACTTGTACACAGTTATACAGAGCTTCTAATAAAATAATTGTTCTCTATTATAACAACATTGAGCTCTAACTAATATTTTATCTATGCAACAGCTGCATCGGTATATTGTTAAATATTATATATAATATTTAATTTAATAATATTTTTTTGTTTAAGCATAAAAAAACATTTATGTACTTGGTTATATAATATTCAGTATGAACAAGTATGGTCGTTGGCATAAACACGATGGGTTTATTATTATCATATTGTACATATAAATAAATTATGTTATAATAACATAATACGCCAAAAGCGCAATATTTGTGTAGAACATATTGCCAAACAATGTTGGGTTGCTATATAATTAAATATATACTAATTGATGTTAAAATGAAATTACAGGCTTCTATGTTATATGCGTTGATTTTTATTATTTGGGAATACGTGCCAATAACATAAATTGCATGTGATAGTAACTAATTTGTACATAATTTTGAATAGTCATTACATTTGATTTTTATTATTTAACAATTTCAAATTAATGACTAAAATTAAAAATATATTTTAATTTAAAAAGCGTGTTTTCTTTCCAATACTCGTTAGTCTTGAGAAAAGAGAGGAACCCTTGAGTATGACAAAAAAAAAATCAGTTTGGATTAACTAAAATTATACAAGTCAAATAAAAAAAAATGTATATATATGTATTATAAGTATAATATAATATTATATAATTAATAAAATTAAAACATTTATACATTGGAATGAACATTTTATTTTTGACACTTTTTTTTCTATTTATTATTAATAGATTGCAACTATTATGAACAAGAAAACAAAATGTTTTTCACAAATAATATACATTAAACCCATTAAAATATATTTCATTAAAATAAAGAGAAGATTTTAAAGGACAGTATATTACAATTGTTTTGTTTTATGTTAACTAATATAATATTATAATCATTGAATTTAAATAATTGCTATCCCAATATGAAATAGATGCAATTTTGTTAAGAGTAATTATATATGTATGGGTTTTTTTTTCAAGGTACATATTATATTATTAAATTAGTATTTTTCCAACAATATTGATTATCTGAATAAATAATAATATGCACGATTTATTTTTATTAGAATTTTGGAAATCATAATATATATATTAATGTTTAGGTTGTCTACAAAAAAAAAAAAAAAAACAGGAACGTTTGGTATGCAAAAATAAATTAAAATTATCAATGCAATAGAAGTTTTTAAACACCTGCAATTTTATGTTATACAAATCATTTGTAGTTTATGAAATTAACAATTAGGTACTCTACATTTGTATTAATATGTATTATGACTGAATAAAAGCTTTAGACCTACCCCTTCCAAGAATGCACATCACTTACAAACATAAAAAATACACTACAAAACCATAAGAATTTGCACTATATTTACACGAGTTTATTTTAGTATATATTAACACATTTAATTGTTTATACAATTATCTTTGGACTTAAAAATAACACAAAAGGCAAGTAATTGGGAACTAAATCAAAATTTGAATTTCATTTTTATAAGGTTACACGTTTGACGAGATCCTCTGAGAAAAAAAACAAATACCTTATCATAAAAAAAGGAAAAAACAACAACATAATAATATTTGATTAAAATAAGACTGATTATTAGTTCCAATAATTTTGTTTTAAGTTTGTAACAAAAAGAAAAAAATAGTTGTTAGTATTATTGAAAATGAGCTTAAAAATGTTTTAAAATTGGGTAAATTCATTCATTTCATAAGGCGATTTTAGGTATCAACAAATTTACCTAACAACAAAGTTTTCAACCTTAGACTGTACTTTTTTAAAAACTAAATACATAAAACAATACAGATATGATGAATTTGTAATAAGTTTTTTTTTTTCGGTGTACATATAATATTACCTTAATATGTTTGTGAGTGGTTTGATTGCCAAGGCATTTTTTGGTCGCACTGTAAACAACAAAAAATAACAATATTTATAACTAACATACTAAAGCATTAAAGGCCAAGGTCCTTTGTTATAGCAGTTTAGTTTCAGTTGGTTAAAGATTATAAATTAATAAATGCATTTACTATTTGCTGTAATCATTACCTTCTACATTTAATTAAACACTACTAAAAACAAAAACACAATATAGGTAATCGTTGATAGTTATTATTAGCTATTACAAGAACATAAAGCCTAATTAGGTAAAATTCCACATTAATAATACAATTTATTATCATTCTAAAAACTAATAAAATTCACTGTAATCTACTTGAAAGTTAAGATAATATAAATTGACGATTTATATGTCAATACTCAAATTAATTAAGATGGAAATCAAGGGAGGGGGTGGGATAAAATGGTTTTTCAGACCTTTCATCATATCAATAGATCAACACAGGGGCGTACTCAGGAATTTTCAATGGGGGGGGGGGGTTGAACATTTTGTTTTTTATTACGGGGACTTTGTCACCTCCTTTTTAAAAATATTAAATATAAACATGGTAATGTACTCTACAGAAAATAAATTTTAAAAATGAAAAATGTTTATTTAGAGAACTAAATTCCGATTCCGATTGATTAACGTGTTCATGTTTTCTTTTAAGATTATTGTAGGGTTCAATGTACTTAGAACTTCCAGGCACACCAGTAAAAAATGTTGTTATTTTATTTTTATTTTTTGACTTTAAGCGTTTATAGAAAAAGAATAAATACTTAAATTTTAATACTATCATTAATATTTTTCAAAAGTATATTAAACTACTACCTATACATTTTAATAATTTATCTGTGTGAAATAGAACATGTAATTTTAATATATACCTAATTTAGAAAAAAAAATTAATAATTTTGATTAAGGGGGCCTTGACAGTTTTACATTAAATTTAGGGAGCCTCATGACAAAAAAATTGAGAAGTACTGTACTAGATTATAGTGTAAAATATCCAAATAAAATAAATATAACTAACTGTCCCGGTAATCGATCATGTTTTTAATGTTGCATTTCAATTTGAAAACTACATATACATTTTTCACTGTTTATTTTTCTAACATAATTTATATTTATTGAAGAAATATATAAACAAATTTTTTGACAAAGGTTGGTTGCTCAATACACAGTCAAATATTAACCAAATATATCATAACGCATTATGTCAAAATAAGAATGATATTCACTAACAAAAGAAAAAAATGAGCAAAGTGCTAAAAACAAGAAAACACAAAAAAAACTAAACAATTTTTCAAAATTAGTTTGAAGTTTATAAGATTACTTTTATTGAATAATATTATAATATAAATAATAAACCTAATCATAAAATAAAATATGCAAAATATTTTAAACATGTTTTTAGAGTTTTTTATGAGCACTAGAAAATAATACTCCACTCTACCAGACTACTATTAGAATTAGGAGTAGAATCATAATAGTTTTAATTTAATTTAAAGATTTTAAGAAGGATGCAAATATCCAAAGAAGTGACTAAATTATACATCATATTTTTTCTAATTGATGTCTACTCGATAAAAATATTGCCGATGAATAAAATGCAAATGTAATGTATAATTACAGGCTCCAAATTTATTATGCCAACTCAATTAAAAAAAAAAACTTTTTATGATTCAATGTTTTTGTAAATACTGACTTCAATTTTAAAAAATATTAGCATTTTAATTCTGAAGTTTTAAGACATTTTGCATTTAACAGAATGAATATACAGGCCTTCGTAGGACAGGAAGCGCGCTCTGGTGACTATAGAACTGTGGTAATATTTTCAACAAGAGTGTAAATGTATAGGGGTCCACAGTGACGACACCTTATCAATACACCTTGTATGTTTGATTTAAATGTTATCTGGTTATCATAATACAGTTCTTAACAGATAATGCTTGTAATCGTTGTATAATGCATGTTGATATAAAATTGAAAACAAATATATGTTTATTTTTTCCCTTCTTAAAAATTTTTTTTAGAAAATTGCTCCTGTGAATTATATTATGTATAAACAAGAACGCACAAAAGTGCATCGGTTAGTAAGGTCATGGGGGGTTCAAACCCAACGACCCCCCCCCTTGAGTACGCCCCTGGATCAACATGTTGAAAATGACGCTGCTGTATATATTTACACTAGATTAATTCAAAAATTGTATTTTAACATTATTAATTGTCATTAAAAAACAAAGTAGTAGAGGAGTACTATAAACTATTAAGATAATAAATAATTTATATTAGATTTAACCAAGCTATATGACTTAAAATGTTGATATTTTTAAAATAATGAACAAGAATGTCAATTGTACATCAACGTACATTTTATTTTCAATACAAACTATTCCATTTTAATCTATGGAAAAAGCACTTAGGTAAACAGTATTTTACTAGATAAGTATTGATTATAATTACATTAATTTTAAATTTATAATAATAAGTAATACATTTCAGTGAAAAGAAGGTTAAAATAATTAAATTGGCAATACACCATTGCCAATATTGCATTGAATGACGTCAAATTACTTTTGTTACTATGCTTTACTCAACTTCACTACTGTGCAAGCAATATACAACTTTAATAACAATAAAAAAGAAATTAAAGAGAAGAAGAAAATAATAAAGTAAACAAAATTAGAGAACATTTTTGATTTAGCAATACATTTTAATTAATGCTTATTGCTAAAATAAAAAATAAAGTATAAAAAGACAAAATATAGGTATGAACAATAAATAATTAGGATGATTTTGATGGAATTTCAATTGAATACAAATTTAAATAACTCATTATAAAATGTAGGTATAAAGGATTTTAAAACAATAAACTTCAATACTAATTGTATAGTTTAATAATGATTTTTGACAACCCTATTAAAAATAATTCACAGAAACCAATCTTAAATCTACATAATATATTATACGTCATTTTCTTTTACCTTTTAAACTATTTCATTTGAAGGTTGCCTGGAAGTAGTCGATGAAGAAGGGTGATTTGGACTGTCTGGATTAATATTCTCTGGAGTAGATGGACCACCACTAGCTGCAGATGCTTCATTTCCGCTTCCTACAGAATCTTTTAAATGCTTGGGTATCAAAGCAGATTTCAAAGACCCAGCTGCACTCAATTCTGAAGAAAACATTTAATAGTTTAGTTTGAGGTTAAAATAAAGTTAAAAATGGTAGTATTTAAACATTATTTAAGAGGATGCCACGGCTGTATCATGTGTTATCTCCATTTTACAAACATACAGATACAACATAGAAAATGTACAATTAGTCAAACCAATTTTGTGTTATAAGCTTTAATATTTAAGAGAGTTTACCATCAATTATTAAACTTAAAGGTAAGAAGATTATAATATGTGCTTCTAAGTTAGTTCTTTACAATATTTCCATTTTTAATGTCCGTATGCAGTCATTTAGCATTGTTTGATTGTAATATTTTAAACCTACTAGCAACATATAAATAATTTAAATATTGTAAAGAACAATCATAAAAACACTGATAATGTTCTTACATTCAAGTTTGATTATAGGTCAATTCACTCTATTGCAGTTAACAACATAAAATTGGTACTGCAGAATGAAAATTCTAAAAAAGTGTTAAATTTTTGTAAGATGGAGATAACATACAGACATGTGTTAACAGAAACTTAAAATAATTTTTGATTTTAAAGGAGAATTTAAGTTAATTACATACCTAATTGTGTAAAATTGAAAAGTGGAGGTAATGATCGTCCATTTGGTAATCTATGGAGCGGATCTCTTAGCTCATCAAAAAATGCATGAGCACATGCTTGTAATGGAGACACCCTAAGTGATGGAGTGTATTCAAGTAACACCGACACCAATTCTACAGCTTCTGCTGGTGTCCGCATACGGAAAACCTTTACAAATGACGCCTTTAGGTTAACACATAGAATATACGCTTCAAACACACACTTCATAACAGTTCAAATATTAAAAGAAAAACGGCATAAATTAAATAAATATGACAATTCAAAAGACATGTTAGAGCTCTAATTTTCTTTAAGTTCTACAGTAAACTTTCAAATATAGCAGTAATAACCACAAGTCGAATACCACTTTTACGAGCAAATACTTAATTTGTTTTAAACTTATCAAAAGAATAATATTTAATAAATTATTATTATATAAAACTGAAAATATCTTCATAAAACATTATAAATTATAAACTAAATAATCAGTATTGTAACCTCTGTATGCAAATTGTTAAGACTCTTTTAATATAAAGAGTATGTCAAAAGGTTATAATAATTGAACAAGAAAAACCGGTTAGATATTAAAACTGTCTCTTAGTCATTTTTAGACTTACTCTAATTTTTTGATGAACATTGCTGTTTTTTGGGAACGACATGCGTTGCAGCATAAACTGCAAGGTACAATATGTACGTTAAAAATAAAAGTATAGATAATTCTCCTCTAACATGTCTTACTGAAATAATATTAGTAAAAAAATGAACATAAACCAGAAAAAAGTGAAAAATTAGTTTAATTATTTGATAGATAAAAGAAATTGAAACACCCTGTAAATAGATTTTGCTCAAACACTATTTAATATTTAACAATTAACGATATAGATTAAAAAATTAATGAATATAGTATCTAAATGATTTTTCTTTATATATTAGTTACATCTAATTATTCATCAAATGTTGCTATTATTATTTATTATACTAATTAATAGTTATAATACTTACTAGTCATTCCTAACATCTAGATCAAATTAATATAACTTTTCAATAGTTCATTAGTTAAGTTTAGAGATAAAAGTTTTTAAAAAGCCTATGAGCAAACTCTGGAAGTATGTTTAATTTCTTTAAGCTTTTACATATTAATTAAGTTCAATAAAAATCCAATTCAAACAATAACGTACCTTTGACCAAGGATGAGATTTGATCTGTGGGAATTTGAATTCTGTATAGTTGGGATTCATTTCTCTAATCTGTTCTCTTGTTGGTGTGCCAAGGACTTTTATAATTTCCACTAATTGATCAACACCAGAGTCTCCTGGGAAGATTGGCTGACCTAACATAAGTTCTGCTAATACACAACCAGCACTCCATACATCTAAGAAATCAATATTTCATTAAAAGATAAAACAATTGATACATTATAATTGAAATTGAGAAGTTGAATAAAACTAAATTACTAAGCGAGTAAAAAACAAAAAAATTATTAAAATTGGGTCAACATTTTAAAAAGAACATTATAACAGGTATAGTCGGGGACACGAAAAATGAGCGTTGGCACCCGCGACCCGTTGTTAGTACCCACTCATGTAGCCATTGGTTCTCAACTTTGTACCGTCACGCTGCCCATTACGTATCGTACTCACGGGCACGAACAATTTGATAACCACTTTAGAAAAACAGCCGCTTGGCGCGTGACGGGCAGCGATCATTTTTCGTGTCCCCGACTATAGTTATTAGAAATACATAAGTTACAGTTTTGCAAAGATATTTTCAAATATGTATTTTAAATGGAGCCAATATATTTTATCTGCTAAGGTTGATAATTGATATATTGCTTTGTAAAATTCCATAGAACCCTTAAAATTATATTAAAATCTTTGAAGTTTAAATACTTTATACTTTATTATAGTAAAGCCAATTTTTCAAATTTTCTTCAATTCTATACAATTTGAATATATTATTTTAGTTAACACCATAATTATAATAGTTTTCAACTGGTCTACTGCCAAATACTTATGAGGTTGATATGGTGTATTATATCAACAAAAATGACTTTACTTCACATGAAATACTCTTAAGCCTTGTAGAATTGTTGGTAAAAAATAATTTGCAAAAAAAGCTTAACATTTGTTTAGACATGTTAATATAAAGTTTGAGATTAAAATATTGAAAAATAGATTTCAACACGGTCTGTAGAATATAACCCTCTATTATTTTAAATAAAAAATGATAAAATTTGGTAAATCCTACAGGACAGGACCATTATTCCTGTAATGTATTTTTGTGGATAAAACGACATTGGAACCGGGCACCTTAAGTTAGAAAATTTTACCAAATAATTAGCTTTCTAAACACCTGCCTCAAATATTGGTCTTATATTGTCATATAAATAAATAATAATTTAAACACAATAGTCACCATCAATGATAATAAATAAAACAACATAGAGTTAAGAAATATTATTAAGCTAATAACGATAAGCTATTATTATCAGGAATAACCATAGAGTAATAATAATAACTAATACAGACTACTATAACTATTTTATATAAGGTAGGAACTCAATAAATAAATAATTTCTTAATATACTGATTACTGATTAGTATTGGCTCACCTAATTTTCATAAAATTTAAGAACAACATATTTAATGAAGTTTAAATACATTTTATTTTTATACGTAAAAATAAAAATTACCAATTTTTGTAGTGTAATCTATAGCACCGAATATCAGTTCAGGTGCTCGGTAGTATCTTGAACATATGTAGGATACATTAGGTTCACCCTTGATAAGAGTCTTAGCACTGCCAAAATCGCACAATTTCAATACCCCTGTTTCAGGGTTTAATAACAAATTTTGAGGCTTAATATCACGATGGCATATGCCTAATGAGTGAATATAAGCCAAGCTTCGGAATAACTGGTACATGTACAGCTATAAAATAAATTCATTGATACCATTTATTATTACCATTCTTTTTGATTAATAATTTTATAATATTGTAAGAAAGCAAACCTTTATGTAGTTAATCGGAATTGTTTGCCTTAATTTGCTATAATGACGAGCAACTTTATATACAGTATCTGGTATATATTCCAAAACTAAATTTAGATAAACTTCATCCTTCTAAAATAATCATAATAGTTTTAAAAAATAAATAGGTATAGGTAATTAAATAATGTTAAATTTACCTTGTCACCACTTGAATAAAAGAAGAATTTCAATTTCACTATGTTACAATGATCTAGGCGTTTCATTATTTGTAATTCACGGTTCTAAAATAACCCATAAAATTAATAAATACATAAAAAAATATTTAAAATTATTGATCTAAATACAAAAATAATTTAACTTCAATCTCTTTTTTAACAGTTATAGTTTTTTAATTTTTTAGAGAACAAAGATGGACATTTTTAAATTATTTTATATTAATAATAATAATAATTTATGCCTATTTTAAGACACTTTCAGACCTAGGTTAACACATGTTTTCTACAAATTTATCTTAGGTCTGGATGCGGCTTTAAATTTACAGGGGTTATATTTAATTTAATTCATTTTTTATACATTTTCCAAATCTTTGAGTAATATACTAGACCTCAAATAAAATCTGTTGCTAGAGCAGTACAAGACATTAATCAAATTGTCTTGTTTTAATCTAAATAATTATGTTTATAATTATAGTGCTTATGTTAAAATATAAAAACGCTATATTTAATGGATAGTGAATAAATTTCTCAAGAAAATCAAACAACTAAAAAACAAACTATCAAAAGTATGTTAATATTTTACATTTAAAATAAAAGTTAGGTAACTTACTTTAAATCTTTTATCTTGAAGAACTTTTTTAATAGCAACCATTTCTCCTGTATCACATAATTTGGCTTGGTATACAACACCAAAACTTCCATTGCCGATCACCATTGTGTCTGTATACGACACCTCCAAGGGTCGATCTGGTCCCTGGCAGGGATTTGCCACAACTGTAGTGACTTTACTGCCATCTTTACCTAAAATAAATAAATTGCCATGAAGTTTACTTAGAATATTTAGAAAATGCTTAAATGTACTTAAATTAAAAAATAAATGAGACCAGGACTAAAACTTTTTGACATCAGTATATTTGAAATAAATAATATTATACAAAAAATATTTAGGTATATCGAATAGGTTTTTCATTAAGAAATTATGGTAGGTAGTTCTGATAGGTACATATTATTAGTTTAATTGACAAAAATAGGTAGATGATATTTAACTTCAAAATCTATTTCTAAAAAAATTACCTTGAAAATTGCCAACACTCATTTATACGCCTAATAATATTGGAATACCTATTGTACCTACTTACTAAAATATTTTTTATCCTTTTAAAATAAATTACTGGCAACAACTAAAATTAAATTTATACAAAATAATTTTGATTACCTCATTTATTAAATTACTAATAACAAGATTATTGAATTTGAATGTTATTATATTGAATCATTATTATATGTACTATTATTTATAATAGTGAGTGACTATCATGTTGCTTATCAATGTGTGTGAATCAATGAATATTTGACATGTAAACAAGCAACAACAAGTATCTAATTTAGTACTAATATTATAGGAATATAAAAAAAAATTTAATGATTTTAATAAACATAGGCAGGTGTATCTAATTAATGTATTTAAGTTAGAAACTATTTTTAATGTATAATTTTTTTCATTGGAAATTTATGAAATTAAAACTAATACAAAAATAAATAATGACAATGATTAATGACTAAGAGGTAAGCAAACAGGTATAAAGCTGTGAACTAAATACTACAAAATAACTAATCAAAAATAGGTCAATAGCTTAAGACAGTTTTATTAAACTTATAGATAGTTTTTATTTAGTATTACCTATACTAAATAATTTTAATATAACTTAGTAGAATAGACACTATTATCAGTTAACCGATAATTTGTAATAAAATTAACCTACATTTATTAAAGATTTCTTGGAGAACTGTATATACGTTTTTTTTTTTTTTACTAACTACCTGCCTAACTTTAATTAAGTATGATAATTTATTATTTGTCTGTTTGAAAATTGAAACTTAAATGAAACGAGTTCTTAATTCTTATCATAATTATTAACTATAAAATATTTTAAATATTTTTAAAATGAAATAGGTTCAATAGAACTAATGAAAATATTAAGATAAACTATGTAATGAGAATAAATTATATAAAAAATAGAATAATTATTCTTAGAACTTAGGACTTATACCTAGCCATTTATTTTTATTGACAATTATTATATATAAAAAATAAAAATATAATATACTTTGATTGATAAAAACATCCCAATGAATTTTGATGTATAAATTCGAAATAAATAAAGGACAAATAGAAACTAACATAATATATCAAACATATAAGATATTATTTAGATTCAGTTTAAATTGATTATCAATAGATCTAGAATGAACTATAGATTCTATACAATTCTTAAAATCATACAGATAACTAGTAAGATTACTTTCAGATCATAGACAATTGGAGTTCTAAATAAGTTGAAAGTCAATCAAAAAAAAGTAAAACAAACCATTGAATTATTTTTAGTTGAGAATTTATAATAGATTGTAAATAATCCATTTTAAAGGATAATATTAAGAAAATGAATACCTTGAAGTCTTATACGTTCAGCGTTTGCTACCACAGTTGGATTCCAAATAGGAACCACATCATTTATTGAAGGATCTTCACACGGGAGATGTAAATCCATCACTACTTAGCTTACTAACATTTCAAGCCAATGTATTGACATTGAATTGGAAAAAAGGTCTGTCATTTCAAAATTAACTTGGCACAATGAAATCAACTAACCAATATATTTTTAGATTCAATAAAGGTTATTTATTTAAATGAAAATTTAAAATTGATAAATTGAACTCGATCAATCACTTCGTTAAGATATCTAGGTAAGATATATAGCATTTTAATACCTGAATAAAAATCAATTGAATATTTATTTTTTTGTAATTAAGATTTTAACTAACAAAATATTTTAATAATAAGTAATATTTTTTATTTCATATCTAATAATAAATTGGTAGGTACAATAAAAATTGCATATATTCAATACCAACCTAAATTATTTTAAATAACATTGAATCAGACTAATCAACTGTATAAGTAGGTAGGTAAAACAACTAAGACACATTTAGACTATAGTAACTGGTAGAATTTTTTGTAGTGTTCTCACAACTGTATGGTACTGGATATAAAACTTGATTAGGTTATGAAATAAAAATACCAAAACTCTAATTAGAAAATTGTAGGTATACCTAAATAATAAATAATTATATATGTTATAGGTACCCTATAAACATTTATATTTTATCATAAATATAACATACATAATATATTTTAATATACCCCATAATATACATACTTAACATAGGTACCTACCTACTATTGCCTATTACATACATACCTACCTATCCCACCTACTCCTAGATTTTCTATAAAAATTAAAAAATACCATATTTTAAACCATTTTACAATTTGAGGTGCATACATCCTTATTTGACAACTCCAATAAGTACTTACTTATTACACAGCATGAAAGAATTTATTAAATTTGTTTGCATAATTAAGCACTGATAAATACATTTTTTTCATGTAAATAAACTTTCAAATGTTGCATAATGAATTGAATGTTGAAATAAAAAATGCAACTACATTATAATTAGCAACAGGATTAGCGACAAAAATAAACTTTTAAAGGAGAATATTTTAACTTAATTAGCTTATTTTGGTATTTACTAGGTATCAAATTTAATTAAGAATACACATATTCCTAAATTTATTCAATCATCTTTAAAAAAGTTATGATAATGCATAATTTTTAAAATTTAAAATTGGGTAGGTACATTACGTGTAGGTGTGGTACGAAGGTAGATATTAGATACATATTAGTACCATAATATTATGACTAATGAAATAAGAGTAAGCCGAGGAGTAAGCATAGACAGATTTTATTTTTATTGTGATAATATAATTAATATATTTTTATCTAAAATAGTTAGCAGAATGACATATTTAAGTACATTATTTAAAAAACATTATAAACATTATAATAGTGGATAATTTTATGGCTACCTAGGTAGCTATAACTTAATAGAGAATTACAACTGATTCCTTTGTTGGAAAAATCAATATTTATCTCTTTGTTAAGAACTATGACCATAGTAAAATCCTGAAAGTATTGTCACATCCGCATTTGATTAGCTTACTTAGTTATCACAAGAATTTATTATTAGCAATTAGACCTAGAGTGTTATTTAAGTACGCCAAAATCATGCAAGTGACTTGAATTTAACATATATATATTTAATTGAGAAACAAGGAATCATTAATTTACAAATAATATACCCGAATACATACTTATAAGTAATAAAATATGAAATTGATGCTAAGGAATGTAGGTATCCAAGATAAGTTTAGCAAATTACCTTGGAGTTTTAAAAAGATAGTGTATCATAAATAATTAGTAGAATTGTTTGTGTGATAGGTAACATGACTTAGGTAAGTACCTAACAGTAGATCGAGAGATGTATTCCACAACCAAATAAAACAGACGAAATCCGTGATATCCTTCGACCACTTTTACAGTGAGAGTGAGTGAGAGTATGACAGCAGTTGAAAAGATTAGCTGGTACACCTAAGTAGAGTGGGTCGACTTGTCAAGACAATGTGCTGTCGTCGTAGGTAAGTATTGCGAAAGTAATGTAAGTTTTAAGTAATTATGGGTGCACACACAGTAGTAAGTAAGAGTGCAAATGTATGTGTGAGAGCGCTTGCAAGTACGTACTTATGACTTTAATTCCGCCCAAAGGAGGATTAGGAGAAGTCTTATTTCCTTCAGCAAAGGAAGTGGTCCTGGGCCTTCCGCTCATGTCCACCGGCGGGTGGTGTGAAAATAGTCGTCGAGTTCTCTCCTCGGAGAAGCTCTTCTATCAACCGTAGTCGTCGTCGTCCTCGTCGTCTCGTAACAGACAGCAGTCGTCGTCGGCGTCGTCGACCAAGTGTGCGGCGGGGGGATGCTCTTCGGTTTTACATAATTCGTGAGAACTCGCGAGTTCGGCGTAAACACACAACACACGGGTGGTAATGGAAAATTTGTGCCGTACAAAACGGGACGAGAAAAGGAAACGTGATTTATTGCTCCGCACTTTTTTTTATTGATAAAAAAAAAAAGAAGAAATTTTTCTGATACGCCTATCTGGCCTGGTTCGCGGCCCACATACTACGCTAGTGTACGCTACTACCTGAGGGTAGTGGTGGCGGTGGCGGCGGCAGAGCAGCACATTGGAAAACGACGACGGACTGTACGCAGTACTCGCACGCACACTCAAACACGGTACACGGTACACACACACACGCGAGCGCGCGCACACGCAGACGGCGGCTTGGCGTTAACGGACCGACCAAACTCCTCGATCGCGGGAGAAACGGACGAGAATAATATTTTATTATAGTTTTTTCCGACGGGAATCTATACTAAATTTGAGCGGCCGATATGATCGGCGCTGGTCGTCGTCGAAAGCTTTCGTCTTGGGTCGTTCGTAAATCGTGTCTTAATCACGAGTTCGACGCGGCTGTGTCTCCATTTTGGAAACGACGGCGGACGCAGCACCAGACGGCAGACATTGACCCAATCAGAGCGGTTAGGGGAACCCCCCGACCCGCGACCGCGGCCGACACACCGCCACGGCCCGCGCACGCCATCGCACAATGTCGAAAACGTGACTGTGACGTCAGACTATTGCGTAGTAGCGGCGCCGCCGACTCTCGCGCGGCACGTCGGCGGCGGGCCTGCTCCGCCGCATTTCCATATTTATTTACTTCTTTCGTGTCCGGCGTCATTACTCATTGGCCGTTGCGCCGCGTACCGTTGGGCGGCCAAAAAACGACCGGTCCTGGCCCTTTTCCGATCGCCGATTTTTCGACATTTTGTCATAAACACAATTTGTGGCAATCATCAGCTGACAACCGAAAACAAAATATCGATCTGTTTATCTCGTAGAAAATATTATAATCATCTCGAAACGCGATAGTCACGTCGGGCCGTACGAGGTTAGGGCGCGAGGGGTCAGTTGCTTAACGCGGCGCGTCTGGCTGATATCCCCGTGTCCACGGTCTTAGATTATTAGGTCTGGCAACTTGGTAATAAAATCCGTGTTCTTAATGACCGGACAGAGAATAGTCATGCACACGTTTCACTATCTAGCGGATTAATGCTTTTCATTATTATTTAATAACAGGGAGACTCACTGCAGCTACAGTTGTTTTACTTAGTAGCAAATAGCAGGTGCCAGGTACTACATTTCGACTTTCCAGTGTACTTACACCTATACACTCATCTAGTCAGCGTAGGCATGTATACAAGAGAGGTTTTTGTAAATTAATAGTTGTGTAATTTATTTATATATAATATAGATTATGAACCCCCCGAAATCTACTATAAACTCGAATATAATATAATATCTCTCGAATTTTATTTTTGTTTACGTGCCTGAGCAGGACTCAGGGGTGGCTCCAGAGACATGGTTGGTGGGGGGTTCATAATTTTTGGAAAACATTTGATGCCTATTATAATATGTTTTTTGTCGTAATTGTTTTTAAAATAAGTATACATTTTTTTAGAAATATGAGCTTGGAAGGGAGCCCATGCGTGGTCTATAATTATGATTATTTACCTTACGAAAATAAAACGGTTGATTTTGTTGAAATCTTGTTTTTAGTAAAAACACAGACTATATGAAAATAGTACTTTCATATAGTCTGTGGTAAAAATGACCGTTTTTCCCGATTTTGTGAAGTACCTAGGTACTGTAAATTTTCCGAATACCTACAAATAAAAGTACAAAGCTACCAGAAACCAACATTAAAGTTAAAGATTGAAGAATTTTTCCACCTATAAAACGTGTATACATACAAACACAGAAAGAAGAACATTGTAACTCCAATATATTCATCTCCTCGCCTAAATCTTATACATAAACAAAAAATGAGTTAAAATTTATAAAAACCAAACTCAAAAGTTGTGTGTTGTTTTAGAATTTGCTACTTTAGACCACGTCCTATAATCATTCAAAGGCCTAATTTTAGGAAAAAAAAATAATGCCCATAAGTTGTATTATTTATTATTGACATTAAACTTATAGATCGCCATACGTCGTTAGTAGATGGCAGTACTAGTATTTATGAGTTGCCTGTCCCGTCAATAAGTGCACGGGTGATTATATGTTAATCTCGAGTTGCATAGGGCTGTCCGTGTCTTTCTCGACGTTCGATCGGAGACGACTGGAACGAACGTAACCTTAAAACCGCGTTCATGGATAAAAAAGAGTGTAGAAAACTAGAAAAAGCACCGTTTGCCGTTATGGTATTTTTAAGGCCCGCCGACGTGATATTATATCCGTGTGACGGTGCGATTACCTACTTCAGGCCCTACTGGAATTTTGCGGCGGTCGATTTTTTGTGGGGCCCCTGGCTTAAATATAAATTCATTATTTTGCTCTACCTTTTATTTATGTCTTTATTTTTAAGATCTAATTAAAATAAATTTTAATATTCCTATCATTGATTGGTATAATAAAAGTACTTATGTCTTATGATAGTATATTAGAGGCCCCCATTATGTCAGGGCCCAGGCCTACAACCCCCTTATTCCCCCTTGCCTCCACTTAACTAAGACTCCGCCTATTATTATAGTATTATACCTATACTTGGAATTTTGTTATTATCAACGCATTACCTATCACTCGAATGTTTACCCTATAAAAACGGTATATGTGACGTTTAGTTCAACCCTTTGATAAATAGTTTATAATTCCAGAGCGTAAACGTGTTGTATTCATCCGAACTATATATGCAAATATGCGATTTAATTACATTTTTAATTAAATTTAAGAATTAAAAAGTTCATTAGGTGCCACTGTGCCAGCTATCTGAATTCTTTGAGGCAATATGAAGGTTTATTTTGTTTATAACACATGTGTAAGCAGTTAAGCAGAGTAAAACTGTTCTGTGGAAAAAAAAATCCTAAAAACAATATTTGTAAAATGTCTAGACGGATTGGACCATCGGGAAATTCCTGATGGGCCTCACTTGTTGATGGGGCGCTGCTTGCTCTACTGAACACCACGAATGTAATCTGCTGTAGTGCTGTTACAAACTAATAAGAATTAGTTATAAACAGTTTTTAAAGGACTAAACAAAATTACCACATTCAGTCCCTTACCACTGAACCCCCTGAAAACCCCCCAACAAATAGGTACCTAACAGGTACTTACATGAAATAGTGCTAGTGGGCCTCTAAAAAGTTATATTTCCGGGCTGGTCAGAAATACCAATCCGTCCCTAGTCCCAATCATAGGAAAAACTAGTTAGTAGTCCCACTTATCTCCTATATATGTTCACCTACCTCGTGGAATGTTTATACAGCATGAAAATCACTTTAGTAAATAATGTGACCGAAATACTGAATAGTGGGGTCATCGATTTGTAAAGATCTGTATTCTGTGAACAAACTATTCCAAACTATATCCAACTATTTGGACATTTATTAGGAGAGTTCTGACTTCTGGATACGACACTAAATTAGATCTATATTATGTAGGAGATTCGAGTAAATCTGCTGTGTGGGTCTGCCCCCCCCCCCCCCATTGATTGACAGAATTTAAAATTCTTAATGAGGTGCAAACCACTGATTGTATACTTACTACTTACATGTTAAAAAAATTTGGACGCCCCCCCCCCCTTTGAATGTGTTATTATATGCCGTTAATTTAATAATTAAAAATATAAAACTACAATCTTATAATATTTAAGTAAAAATATAGGACACAAAAAATTCAAAATATTATTTGTATTTAATTATTAAATGCTTCACCAATTTAAATGACAATTTCATAACATATTTAATTATTAACATACTTTATTTAAAAAATAGTAATAATAAAATAAATATTTTATAAAGTATAATTTTAATCATGGAGTAAGTCTTTTAGGATCACGAGGAAACATTGATACTTTTCTTATGTTGTCTAAGCCCAAGTACAACATAACAACTCTCTCCAATCCAATTCCACCCCCAGCATGAGGTGGACACCCATACCGGAAAGCATCTATATAAGCTGCAATCTTCTCAATATCTAAACACAAATATCAATGATAAACTAAATACAAATTACTATTTATTCATGAGTCACCATAATTCTAGAGCAAACATACCAACTTGATGATGTTTGGCTCTTTCTATTAAGTAATCAGAATCATGTATCCTCTGAGCACCCGATAGAATTTCTTCACCTCTCATAAACATATCATAAGAATTAGAAGCAACCTATTTAAAATATAAACATTAGATAAATTACAAAAATTTAATTCGCTAGAACATAATACAAATAATTACTTTTGAGTCAGGATCTGGCATGGTGTAAAAAGGTCGTATGGCAAGAGGAAACTTATCCAAAATGTAGAAATCTGTATCATACTATGTAATAAAATTTATTTATGAGTAAAAAAAAATTAATTAGGAAAATCATGATTATACTTTTGCTTTGACCAAACGTCCAAGTAATTTTTCATTTGGTGTTGATAAATCATCTTCATCGCCCATTTCAACTCCAGCCTCACGAAGCATATTAACAGCTGTTGGAAATTCAAGTTTTAAAGGTGGGTCCAAGAATTTAAATGGTTCTACTGGATATTGTTCGCAAATTGTTTTAATTTCAGATTGATAACTATAAAATTAAAATAAATTTACATGCAAATTTAAAATAATATCAAAAAATATTGTTTATTATTTTTATTTTATTGAAAATTGGGTATTTTTAGGTATTCGGTTATTGTGACTACCAAATTCAACAGTTGATTTGAACTTACTGCACTCACTCTGACAATTTAAATCAAAAACATCCCACAATTTGCTATGGTGTAAAACTCCCTTGGAGAGGTCATAGAGTAAATCAACCTTATTTCAAGAACTACCTAAGGGTTTACACACCTATCAAGTCGAGGGATGTTTTCAATTTGAATTGTCCAAGTGAGTGTCCCCGATGGGTCTATACATACTATGGTTGGTAGTCGCAATAACCAAAAATTACCGGAAAATACAGACATGATTTAAAAGTTAAAACTAAAACTATTAAGTACAATCTCAATTAATTTCTATCTACATAAGTGCTTATTGATTTTTTGAAAAATAAAACAATATGAAACAATTAAGTCACCTCTTTTATTCGTATATAATCACTATGTATCTTGCCTTTCAAAAATAATATATTTAAATTAATTAATTTTTATTTTAATCACATTAATAAATAATGTAGTAAATAATATGTATAAATAAAAATAATAATAATGAGTATTAGTTATTTATTTAAAACTTGTAAGGTTAAATGTACAAATGTATTTACTTGTCACGTAATCCTTTAAATATGTTAGTAAAAAGTGAACCAATAACATCAACCACTTCATGATAGTGATATTTAAAAGCCATTTCTAAATCTAAGCCAACAAATTCAGTCAAATGTCTATATGTGTTACTATCTTCTGCTCTAAAAACTAAAATGTAAATATATTAGATATTATATGCTATTAAAATATAATATTTAAACATAAATAATTGATGACAATGATAATAAAAGATAGTATACCTGCACCAATTGTGAATACTCTATCAAAGTCACCAGCAATTGCCATTTGTTTATACAACTGAGGTGATTGAGCAAGATATGCAGATCCTTTGAAATACGATATTGTGAAAACATTTGCTCCACCTTCACTTGCAGCATTTATCATTTTTGGAGTATGAATTTCAACAAAACCCTAAGTAAACAAAATATTACAAAAATCTAATTGAAGTACAAAAAAATATTAAGAGGTTCAATCTGCAAAAGAACAATAATAGTTGAAATTACTCAAACATTGTGTAAGTTTAAATAACGGTTTAAGATAGACCGTGATTTAAATATAAATATTTTAAAATTGTACAAAAGTGAACAAATTCAAAATTAT